TCGTACTTCCTTGTGCTGTGCTGACTGCCCGCACTTGTCATTTCTTTGAGCTGAATGTCCTGTCGCGGTGTCCCGGGACACTGTTCTTCTCACGGAGCCTGGGGGGCTTTCTGGTGTCCTTGCTGGGCTGCGGTGAGTCTCTGTGGTTAGGCGCCTTGGAGGGTGCGGAGGGATTAGGTGGGGGTTGCCCCCTTTCTTCTCTGCCCCTCTCTTCTTTTCCCTGGATGCCGGGAGGTGTAACTCGGAGCAGCATGGGTCTGCCGAGTGGAGCAGCCGCATGGCCACGTGTCTCCATCCCGAGGAGGCCCGGGTGTCCCCAGAGGCAGCCTCGCCTGCAGCGCCGGGCAGAGTTGCAGGAGCTGGAGCGGGCGCCCCTCGGAGTCAAGGCTGTCGCTTTTCAGAGATGCTGCTGGGGGCCGGAGCCAGTCCCGCCTCTCGGCTCAGCAGGGTCGGGACGGCCCCTGCTCTCACCCCCAGCAGCCGAATACACATTCTCCAGGGCACATGGGACATTCTCCAACAGAAACCACACTCTGGGCCGCGAAGCATGCCTCCATCCAGTTAAGAGAATAGAAATGAAAAATGTCGACTCGTGCTCAGTGCATGGCCACAGTGCATTGAAAAAGAAGTCGGTGTTGGTCACACACAGAAGTAGCATCAAGTCAAACACCTAGAAGCTGAACAGCTCACTGCTGAGCAACCAGTGGGTTCGAGAGGAAGCCAAAGATCCCTAGGAGCAAGTGAGGAGGAGTCCGAGCGAGTGGTAGCCCTGCAGACATGCGTCAGGAGGGAAGAAAGACCCAGGTAAGTGACTTGACTTCCAGCCCAAGATCTTGGGAAATGACCAACGAAAGGAGCCCAGACCGGGCAGGAGGAAGGAAATAACGAAACTGAGAGCAGAAGCTGAGGAGCTAGAATTCAAAAGAACGGTCCGAAAGATCAACAAAGCCAAGAGCTGGTCCTTTGGAAAAATAAACAAGATCAATTAACCAGAGCAGGACTCCCAAAGAGAGCAAGAGAACCCTAATAAACCAAGTCAGGAGTGAAAGGGGGGAATAACGCCCGAAAGCAAAAAAATTCAAAGGATCACCAGATATTACTTGAAGAGTCTGTGTTCCACACAACAGGGAAACCTAGAAGAAATGGATAAGTTCCTGGATTCCAGCATCTGCCCAAGGCTGAACCAGGAATATTTGGAATCCCTGAACAGATCTATCACTTACGAGGAAGTTGAAATGGTGATCAAGAGCCTTCCCAAAAACAAAAGCCCAGACCCAGATTCTTTTAAACCTTTAGGGAACTGACTACTGTCAATCCTTTTCAAGCTTTTCCTGGAAATCCAAGGAGCAGAAACACTCCTAGTTTCTGTGAGGAAAATATCATCTTGATACCAAAAGCAGAGACAACACAGGAAAGGAGAATTACCGGCCGATATCCCCGACGAGCACAGATGCAAAGAGCCTCAACAAAATACTAGCAAAGAGAATCCAGCAACTCATCAAAAGATCTTACACCACAACCAGGTAGGATTCATCCTGGGGATGCAAGGCTGAATTAACGTTAGTTCACAAGTCATTCAGCATCACTGTCCTCCCGTTGTTCATCGATTTGCTCGAGCAGGCCCAGGAACGTTGTGAGACTTGTTGTTGCTGCGTTTGGCATATTGAATACGTCACGGGGAGCTTGCCAGGTTTTGCCGTGTGGGCGAGATACTCTTGGTAGCTTGCCGGGCAATCTGAGAGGGGCGGAGGAATCGAACTCGGGTTGACTGGGTCGGCCGCGTGCAAGGCAAACACCCTACTCGCTGTGCTGTCGCTCAGCCCACAATACACCATCAATAAAAATAACCATATGATCTTATCAGTAGATGCAGAGAAAGTATTTGACAAGATCCAGCACCCGTTCGTGATTAAAAACTTGCTATTAAATGGGAATTGGAATTAATTACTTAAATGGGAATTATAGTCTTATTATACTCCTATTCAGTATAATACTTGTCATAATAGTTAGGCAGGAAAAGATACCCAGGGCATCCAGATAGGAACGGAAGAAGTCAAACCTTCACTATTTGCAGAAGACGTTATACTTAGAAAATCCTAAAGGCTGCAAAGAAGTGCCTGAAAAAAATAGATTTGTATAGTAAAGTGGCAGGTTACAAAATCAGTACCCCAAAGTCTCTGGCTTTCCCATCCACAAATAGTGAAAGAGAAGAAAGAGATATTTTTACAAAGACAATCTTGTTCACAATGTGCCTCAGAAAACCAACTGCCTCAGTCAGCTTAGTTAAAGAGGTGAAGTGTAGAATAACATTGGTTTGTCCTTTCTGCCTTGCCACAGGGAACTTAATTTTATTGGGTTGCTCCCGTCACAGTGCTCCTGAGACACGCCCACTCCTGTGTTTATCTGTAACCTCTCTCTCGGTGCTCTGCTTCCCCAGCCAGTCAGTCACCTTTATCTCCTAATCAGACTTCGTTAACTTGTAAATACTGCTTTTCTCTTCCTCCGTCCTTTGCCTGGTTTGCTTTAGAGCAATGTCTTTTTGCATAGACTGTGCTTTTGTAACTCGGGACTTCATTGACTCCGAATAATCTTCACTCCTGGGCATCTGTTTTCTCAACGCGGGCCTCAGTTGCCCTTCCTTTCTAGCACCCCAAAAGCAAGGTCCCGACGAGGGACTGGATGGACCCGGGCAAGCCGCGAGCTACCCTGGCACCATAATACCTAACTGTAAGTTAAGAGCACGGTCGTGTATGCCACAGACTCTGTCATGATCCCCAAAGTAACAACTAGATTAGGACCCTGCTAGGGTTAGGAAAGGTTAATCTGGCCTGAGCACTGTCGTCTGAGATCTATAGTGAGATATCCCCAGGAAAGCCACCCTACAAACTTAATATATCTCTTGCTGTGTCCATACAAAATAACTAATATTAAGAAGTAGAATTAAGATGTTAATTAAGTTATTGGACGAAGGAGCAGAGAAAAACCCCTGAGTGGCATTTTGTCCTTGGGCTGATCCCCTGGCTGCAGGCGATCTTGACGGGCTTTGATATGTCAACTGGGGAGTTGGAGAGAGGCTAGAGAGAAACTGAGGAGGCTGCCGGGAGGCAGTGGAGGAGACGGGAATGAGGGCCTGAGTGAAGAGGAAGAGGCGTGTGGGGAGAATGGAATGAACGGCTGCTGATAACCAACCAGCCTGGCCCGCGTTCCTCCTCCGTCCGCCCATGGGATCAGCCGTCCCAGGCGGGGAAGTGGCGAGACCACCGAACACTGACAGGGAGAGAGCGCCGTGGGATTCCTAGTTGTTTGGTGATGATACAGTGAAGGATCTGTACAAATAAAACTATAAAACACTATTTCAGTAAATAAAAGGGGACACAAGGAAATGGAGACACATCCCCTGCTCATGGATCAAGAGGATTAACATTGTCAAAATGGTAATACGCCCCAAATATAGAGGTCCAATGCGGTCTCTATAAAGGTACCCATGGCATTTTTCGAAGAAATAGACGGAACGTTTCTGAACTTCATGTGGAGCAATGAACCTCCACGGATAGCTCAAGCTGTCCTTGGGGGAAAGAAGATGGGAGGCATCCCCCCCTCCCGCCCCCAACTTAACTGTACTGCAAAGCAGTAGCAATCAAAACAGCATGGCATTGGAATCAAGACAGACCCACAGGCCCGTGGAATGGAGTTGAGTATCCTGATACAGACCCTCAAATATGTGATCATTTAATCTTTGGTAAAGGAGCAAGATACATGAGGTGGAGCAAGGAAAGCCTCTTCAACGAGTGCTGGGAAAACTGGGCAGCTCCATGTAAAAAACTGAACTCAGACCTCTAAGGCCATGCACAGAGGCCAGATACAAATGGGGCAAAGACCTACCGAGCAAATGGAAACAAAGCAAATGGGACTACGTTAAACATTTATTATTATTATTTTGCTTTTGGGGTCACACCTGGCGATGCACAGGGGTTACTCCTGGCTCTGCACTCAGGAATCGCCCCTGGCGGTGCTCATGGGGTGATTCCCACTGCTCATGGCAGTGCATATGGGATGCTGGGAATCGAACCCGGGTTGGCCGCGTGCGAGGCAAATGCCTTACCCACTGTGCTATCGCTCCAGCCCCTACGTTAAACATTAAAGAAGCATCTGCACCTCAAAAGAAATGGCCAGGGGCTGGAGCGATAGCACAGCGGGTAGGGCGTTTGCCTGCACGTGGCCGACCCGGGTTCGATTCCCAGCATCCCATATGGTCCCCTGAGCACCGCCAAGAGTAACTCCTAAGTGCAGAGCCAGGAGGAACCCCTGTGCATCGCCGGGTGTGACCCAAAATGCAAAAAAAAAGAATGGCCAAATTACAAAGTTAACCCAGGGAATGGGAGAATTTATTTACCCGATGCCCATCTGGTAAGGGGTTCATATCAAAGATATGTGCAGCACTGGTAGAACTTTACAGGAAAAACACATTCAAACCATCAAAGGAATGGGGAGAAGAGATAGACGGAAACCCTCAAAGAGCCAACCAGATGGCCAAAAGGCATTCGAGAATGTCTCTGTGTCTCTGCCATCAGGGAGGCGCAGGTCAAGACCGCATTGAGATACCATCTCACACCAGAGACCGGCACACGTCAGAAGGAACAAGAGCAGCCAGCGCTGGCCCGGATGAGGGGAGAAAGGGACTTCCTTTCCTTGTTGGTGGGAATGCCAGCTGGTCCAGCATCTTAGGGAAACAATATGGACATTCCTCAAAAAACGGCAACTTGCGCTTCAGATGACCCTGCAGTAGCACTTCTGGGACTCTACCGTGGGGGCCCCCAAACGCGGCAGAAGCACCTTCTGCACTCAAATGTGCATTGCAGCACTGTTCACATTGGCCAGAATCTGGAAACGACCCGAGGGCCCGAGAACAGACGACAGGGGAAAGAAACTGGCACATCTGCACCGCGGAATGCTGCTCCGCTGTTCGGGCGAGTGAAGCCAGAAATCTGCTTCCGCCTGCTGTCCTTACCGGGCAGGGGAGACGCCACGGTCTGGAGGCTGGTTTTCCCAGGCCGAGGCGGATCCATCGCACTCCGCAATTGCCGACCCCGCAGTTTGGAACCCCCCCAAGTGTTGGAAACTCGGCTGCAGAACTTGTGGCAGTGGGGGGACTCGTTCACGCTCTCCCCTGAGGGGAGAAAGAGAAGACTGCTGGGTGAAGTGAGCCAGAAGGAGAGGGACAGGCATAGGATGACCACTCACTTGTGGGGTATGTACACACACACACAGTATGAGACCGTCCCCCGAGGCTGATTGGAAGCTTGCCGTGAGTGGAGGGCGGCAGGGGGTGGAGGCCAGTCAGGACCGAGACAAGTCCGCTATGGCCTGATAGTCGCAAATGGTCATCCTGGACAAGAACAGTGCTGAGAAGAGGCCAAGGGGTGTAGGGGATAACCTGTCAGTAACAGCATCGCAAACCGTAATGCCTGGGCTGGGAGGGGACCGGGAACACTGGTGGCGAGGAGTGTGCACTGGTGCAGGGACGGGTGTCTGAACACTGTGACTGAAACCCAACAGTGAACAGCTTTGCAGTTGGGCAAAAAAAGAACCCAGGTGCCCGAACCCCGTAACTTTCTGACCTCCCAGAGTTCCTTATCCACTGGATTCATTTTTAGTAATGGATTTACTAATTTTAACTACAAAGAGCTAATAATCGTAGAGGAACTTGTGGGTTTTTTTGGTTTGGTAACCTTAATACATATTACGTGTCAGTTTTTTAAAGAGCTGTAATAAAAACCAGCTCAAGCTCCAGGAGCATGAGAGATCGTTCGGGGATATATCACTCGCCTTGCCGCCGAGAACCAGTTTGATCGCCTCACCACACCTTGCTCCCCCAGGCACCGCCAGGGACGGTTCTCGAGCACAGAGCCAGGAGTCACAGTGCCCACCCTCCCCTCCGCCAGAGAGCCAGACCTCTTCGCCTGCATCAGCGTTTCAGGGCTGACACTGAACAGCCTTTCCATGCTTCGGGAGACACGAGATGTGAAAAACGGGACTTTTGCTCCCACGGGGCTTAAAGTACAGAGGAATCGTTTGGGTAGATCAAGTCTGTTACCCTGTGGAATGTGTGACATTTACAAGAAATGCTTGGACTGAGTTTTGCGGTTCTTCCCTTCTCTTGCAGTCACGGGCCCTCTGTCAGAGATGCAGATCGCCTACGTCAGCAGGGAGACACTACAGGTGAGTCCACTGCTAGGAAAAATCACGCGTTTTGTGAGGCTAAGTGCCCGTTGTGCATTGCTGTTCAGCGCGGATTCCGTATTCTAGCTTGATAAATTCTTGGGTCTTATTCCCTTTTAATTTAAGTCAGTTTATGTTTGCACATTAACGCCTTAGAACCTCAGTGCTGGATGACCTTCTAAAAACTAGGCACTGTGGATTTACTGTGTATACATTTTCTTCTTATTCTTATCTGCTCTTCATGTCACAGAAGTGCTTGAAAAATAATAGGCAGGATTGTGGAAATGGAAACTCACTGACACAAACTGGACTTTTTTTTAAATTCAAAACTAGCTGCAGAAATTGGTGGAAATTCTTTCTCTTGGTAAATATAGTGCTCCTAGGTGAATTTGCCATTTTTTTAATTGGAACCATAGATTTTTAAAGATGATTTCTTTTGGTTATTTTAGTCAGATGTTTCCTGTCAGATTTGCTGTAATGAATAAAAACAGAGCATAGCTGTTCCTGAAGTTTCAAAATGTGCTTTCTCGTAAAATTTCTTTTTCTTTTTTTTTTTTAACTTCCAGGGGTTATACTATCTTCACAGTAAAGGAAAAATGCACAGAGACATAAAGGTACAAATCATCTGTTTCATCATATTGGTCCTCTCCTCATTTTAAACACATTATCAAACGGTCAAGAAAAATTATCTTACTATATTTGATGAGTTTATTATCTGAAACCTGTTACTATAATAAAATTGAGTGATACTCTTAAGGCTTTTATTAATTTTTAAATATTGGCTACATTGAAGTGAAACTGACAGGCCCTAAAACTCATCCTCTGAGGTGTAGCAGAGATGGTTCGTGGGCTGCGGGTGAGCTTGCATGTGGGGGGCCCAGGCCTGTCCCTGTGCCTCACGCTCCCCGAGAGTAGCCTCTCGGCACCCCGGGTGTGGCCCCAGCAAAACTGTTCAGTTGTGCGTTACTGTTCAGTAACTCACTTTGGATTTGTGGTTATGGATTTGTAAGACGCAGATTAAGTGCAGGCTGGGTCAAGCGACCCTTCTGGGGCTTGCGTGCCGGACAGTACGCGTGCGTGGGAGAGCGGACACAGGCTCCGGCCTCGCCGCAGACCCGGGCGTGGTGTGGCCCGCGCCTGCGTGACTGTTTCTGTCCTCCTGTTTCTCGTCCCGTCACGGAGCTTCCTTCCTGCTGGCCTGGCTGGGACTTCCTCCAGCAGAGACTCCCTGTCCTGTGCTCGCAGGCGGGTCCTGCCCTGGCCGGTCCCTCATCTCCCCTGAGCGCAGCGCTCACAAGGGCACCCAGAGCTTGGGGTGGGGGTGGCAGTCCCCTGAGGACACGCGCCCCAGAGAAGGGTCTGGACAGACAGAGCAGCTGGAGGGGCCTTGGCCCAGACTCTGAGGCTGGACCTTCCTGCCCGAGAGAAGGACCCTCCTCTGTCGGGCTTGGTGTGGGCGTCAGACGGGCCTGCTTGCTGGGCTGCTCCTCCCCGTGACCGTTTCCGGCCCTGTGTGAGTTCTGGGACCCGCCACTCATCTGCTCGGCCGTGCCTGGTCCGGCCCGCTTCTCCCTGGCCGGTCTCTCCCTCTCCTCGTTCTTTTCTGGCCACACGCACGCTGCTGCTCTGGGGCATGTCGGCGCATTCTGGGCTTGCTGGAATGTTCTCTCCCGGGGGGGCCGAGGCTCTGCCCCCTCTCACACGCTCCTCTCACACCCCTCTGCCCTGCCTACCTGTCGGCACAGCTCTTACCTGCCCCCCGGCGTCATTTGCTGCTTCATTCGTGTGTGTGTGTGTGTGTGTGCGCGCGTGCGCGCGCGTGTGTGTTGTGTGTTCATTTTTAGATTTTCTTTCCCCCACTTGGCTGTGAACTCTGAGAGCTGGGACTAGTGACTATCTAACCCCAAAGTCTGTCCAGCATCAGACTAGTCTCTCGAGGAACGAGAAAGGGCAGCAGAAAGGAAAGGGAAGGAGGGACAGAGGAAGAGAAAGAGAAGTCGTAGGTGCCAGTGACGCCAAAAACTGTGATTCAGGAAGAGGAACTGCGCAGGAGCCAGGCAGCACGCCCCGGGCTGTGAGTCAGGGCCCCTGGGCCCCCTCGGCCGAGACCTGGGATCACAGTCTTCTGTCGTTTCCCTCCCTGCGGCCCGGAGGGGCTTCCCGGGGCTCCCCGCCCTTCCCCGGGCCTCTGACTCCACATCAGAGACCCATAACTTGCTCGTTTCAGGGTCGCACAGAATGGGGGAGAGTGCCTGCCGTACCTTTGGGAGACTTTCAGCGTTCTTTTTAGTCCCCATGAAATTATGGGAGTCACTATCAGGTTCCTGGTGACAGTGACTCAGCGCGCTCCCCCAGTGCCGCCGTCCCTCCACCAGAGCGCCCACCCGTTGGCCTGCCCCTCGCCCACCAGTCTGCTTCTGCGAGGTGCTTTTTGTGTGTGTGGCATTTAGGGGTCACACCCGGCGGTGCTCAGGGCTTAGTCCTGGCTCTGCGCTCAAATCACTCCTGACAACACTTGGGGGACCCTGTGGGATGCTGGGGATCGAACCAAGTTGCCTGCGTGAAAGGCAACGCCCTCCTTGCTGTACTGTCACCCGGTGCCGTGAGGCACTTCTAAAAATAGATACATTTTTAAAATAGATTTTTATTATATTCAAATATATATTGATACACACCTTTTTGCACTGTGGTGTCCAGCGCCGTTGCTGGTAGTTTCACGCACAACACTTTGCCCCCTCTCGGACCCCCTTCCTGGTTGAGCACTTCCCTCCACCGTCCGCTGTCCCCCTCTGTCCTGCCCCCCAGCCCCCTCGGCTGGCGTGCTTCCTGCGAAGACCAGTTCTCGCGCTCTTTGTTTCCCTGGGAGGGCCGTGTTTCTGTCTCCTCCAAAGATGCGAGTTGGGTGAAGACAAAAGTCTTCATCGCCTCTGCGTGGGTAAGAGGAGAAGTGACCGAAAAGTTCCTCAGTCCCCAGGGACGGGGCCTGGTGGTGGTGTCTGTCCTCAAAGCTGAGTGGCCATGTGCAAGTAACCTCCAGCCCCGTGGCCCAGCCCGCAGTTCTGCCTGCTAGTTGGGGCGTGTGGAACGGCGGTCAGTTTGAGGAGCACCAGGAGGAAGCGCAGCGCTGCTCGTGGCGGGGTTGACGCGGGGTGAAGCTCGTGTCGTGCTGGCGGCAGCGGGCTCGGGACGCAGTCGCAGTGCCCAGAAAGGACAGACTGTCCTCTGAGCCTCGTGACTCAGTGTTCCGGTTGGGCTACTTTAGATCCTGTTGCTAAGGCCGCCGGTCGTGATTGTTTTAATCCACATCGTTAGTTGTCTTATGTGCTGTTTGATAAAATGTTTCCTGCTTTAACCAAAATATTCTCCTTTGAAGGGCGCTAACATTCTATTAACGGACAATGGTCATGTGAAGTTGGGTAAGTAAACCAAAACCTTGTCACTTGCTCACATGTCTTCTCTGATTCAGTTGGGGTCTCTGTTTCCCTGTGCAGGCCAACTCCGGGCGCCCCACAGCTCTGGGGGCTCCTGCCCCAGCCTGTCTCCGTAGTTCCCGGCCCTCCTCTCCCGTCCACGGGGCCAGCCTGTCCCTCCCGAGGGCCACGTGGTGTTGAGGACCCAGGGAGACCCCACCCCCGGGGATTCTCTTACCTTCACCCCAGGAATGGACTTTCTAATGACAAACCTTTATGGCATTACCTTGTTACTGAAAACTGAGGTCAAACAAAAGCCCCCAAACCAGCCCTTGGCTTCAGTTCTCAGTGCTACCCCCAAAAATGGTTTTTTGTTTAAATTAAAATGTCACCAGAAGTGAGCACAGAGCCAGGAGTGAGCCCTGAGCTTAGCCAGAGTGTGCCAAGCACCATTGCCCCCCCCCCGCCCCCCCACCAGATCAATACTGGGACAGAGGCTAGCACGACAGCCTCGGTGTGAGCAAGGCCTAGTGCCCTGTGCCTCGACACCGGCTGATGCCCTGGGTTCAGTCCCCAGCCTTGCAGAAAGCAAGACCCAAAGCAGCAGGCTCACCTCTGGGTGCCAAGTGTGGCTGGAATAGAGTTCAGAGCCTAAATAGCACACTTGTTTGAAAGTTTTGAGACAGTCTTCCTAAACTGAAGAAACTTGTACAAGAGAGTTTTACTTGGGAAGCAGAACATTTGATAAATACTATGAAATGGTTATTTTAAGCTTGATATTGCTAAGAGATGATTCAAAATCAAGAACACATTTGCCTTATAAGTGTGATATTACTGAAAGGTAATTCAGAATTGAAAGCATGTTTGCCTTGTAAAACTGTGACATACAACCCTTTCAGAGATGGCCACAATGGGGTCTTAATCAGATTGAAAGTCTGTGCCTGGGAGTGAACATGGCATTTTCTAGAGCCTTCTCTACGAGGGGGGCAGCAGCCGTCTCGCTGGGCCGGAGACCAGTTCCCTCCGCTGGGTCCTGTCCTGCGTGTCTTCCCGGGAGACACGGAGGCTTGATGGACGTGCAGGCGCCACTGTCAGCTTGAGGGCGCCAGAGGGCGGCTCAGTGCAGGGCCACCCGGGGCAGGTGGCAGCGTGACGCTGTGCCGCCCTGGCCGGGGCCGGCCTGACCCCTGACTCTCCCAGCGACGGGGGGAAGATGCCTGATACACGGATAAGAGCACAGAGTCTCGATAAAAATGAATTTTCTCATGGTCACGGGCAGAGAGAAGTTGGGGCGCGCGTTCAGCCCTTGGGTCAGGGGGAGGGGGGCCGCCCAGAGAGGTTCCCCCAGGAGGCCGGCCCGGCGGCCGCGCCCCTCACTGCCCTGGCCTCCCGCGCCAGACCCCTGAGCCTGGCTCTGCCGTTTGGTGGAGAGCCCCATCGGGACCGTGTGCTGGCAGACGCTGCTGTGTTCAGTGCTCGCCCGTCACCACTACGGTGCTCACAGACACTGCGACACCGTCCGGGAAATTAGTTCACTGGAAATCACTACGAAAAGTTCCTTCTCGACCTCCAAGCAAAGGCTGCTTGGGGGGCTCGCTCGGGGTGGGAGATGCATGCTGAAAGTAGGCTCCGGACCGAACATGATGGCCCTTCGCTGCGTGCATTGCAAACCCGAACACCCAAAAGGAGAGAGAGTGAAAGGGAATGTGCCCGCCACAGAGGTGGGGTGGGGGTGGCGGGAGGGATACTGGGGACGTTGGTGGTGGAGAATGGGCCCTGGGGGACGGATGGGTGCTGGAACATTGCGTGACTGAAACGCAGTCACGAAAGTGTGTAAGTCTGGATCTGGATCTCACAGTGTTTCATTTAAAAAAAATTTTTTTTTAAGTTCTTCTCAAGCTGCCTTCGCCTTCCTGAGTGTCTCTTGTTTTTCCTAGCGGACTTCGGGGTGTCAGCCCAGATCACAGCCACGATCGCCAAGCGGAAGTCCTTCATCGGCACGCCGTATTGGTAACTATTTTCACCGATAATCGCGCTCTGGGCTCTGTTGCTGCCGAGTTTATAGAGTTGACGGACCCCGGCTTTAGAGGTTTGAGGGCTGACGACGTGTCTGCTCGTGCCGAGGGAGCAGTCACAGCGCCAGTGAGTGTCCCGTGAGCGCTCACTAGTCCGGGGACTTTGGTCCCGACCCTGCTCCCGCAAACACACTGCTGGGGAGCGAGCTCAGTGAGAGGACGTACTTCTGCCTGGTCTTCCCCCCTTCTCTGGTCGCTGTTGACTCTGACCGCGCCTTCCGGTGCTCCTTGGCTTCCAGTTTCTTGACGAAATGCAGGTTCTTGGCATCAGGAGCCTTCCGCGGCCTGGCCCCTCCCCGGCAACGCTGTGCGCTGCTCCTGGCTGCCGCTCCGTGCTCTGTGCCCCTCCGGAAAGCCGCCCTCCTCCCAGTGTCCCCAGAGAAATGGGTGGAGCGCGTGTGCCTGTGCCCGTCCTGACCTGGTCAGGTCCAGCGTCTGCAGCCCTTCTCCGCCTCCACGCCAGCCCCAGGCATCTACAGACCCGCTCGCCGGGCTGGGCTCGCTCCAGACCCTGACCCTGCAGGGCCCTGGCCGTGAGAGCCTTTTCCTGCGTGCGTGGACGTGTTTCAGTCACGGCTTTGTTAGATTTTTCATTCCCTTCGGGATTCCCATCCCCGAGGCCTCGCAGTTCCTCGGCTGCCTCTGCAGAATTCCCCACACCGGCAAGCCTGGCGGGTTATCCGTCAGTCCCGAGACTTGTTCGGTTTGTCAAATGCCAGTAGCAATGATGGGTCTCAGTCTCCTAAGCCTGAAAGGGCCTTGAGTATGGCACTTTTTAAAAAATCCCGGGGCTGGGACGAAGGAGCCGTCACTGGGGCCTGCTTGAGGCAGTTGACGAACAACAGGATGGTCTTGATCGTGATCGTGCTCCGAAGGGCCCTTCCCCCCTGTGAATAGTTTGAGTTCTTTCCTTGCCTTTAGCCTCGGCTTGCCCTGAGGAGTTTCCATCTTTCGCCTGGGAGTTCATTTCCTGGTGTCCGTCTGGTTCCTGCTTCGCTCTGTGCGCGTTGGGGCGCCTTCCCGGGAAGTGTGGGGAGAGCGTTCTGGACGTTCTGTCTGAGCAGCCTGACGTTCGCCTGACGGTCGGTGCTGTGGAGGGGCTGCGTCTTTGCTCCGCTGCCGCCGTGGGCTGCGGTGCTGTGCGGGACCCCGAGAAGGCCGTGCCCGGGAGTCCTCTGCTCCCCCACAGCCCTCTGCTTCCGGCCCTCGTCGGGTCGACCTCTCGGTTCTGGCCCGCGTCCTCTCTTCTTCATTCAGTAGCTGACTCCTGGGATCCTGGAGATAAAACAAGCCGCCAATTTTCTTAATTCTTACTTAGGAAACGTCTTTGTTCAGCTTGTGACTCGTGCCCAGTGGCTGGGTGGCCTCCCTCGGGGACCCCGAGCCTCCTCCCTGGGTCCCTAGGCCTCGCAGCTGACCCCCGCACAGTCTCTCCCTCTGCGGGAACAGCTGCTGGTGCGGGAGGAGGAGGGGATCGGGCTGGGCTTCTGCTTGCTGGGTCGGTTCGATTCTCGCGGGTGCCAGTGTCAGTCCGGCCCTGTGTGATGTGCATCTGTGGGGCTTTGTGGTTTGGGTTTTGGTTTGTCTCTCTTGCATCGTGGGGATTGAGCCCGGGGCCTCCTCACCTGTGCACGTGTCGGAGCATGTATTCAACCACGTAGCGGTTCTCTGGCGCCTTTTCAGATTCATGACCCGAGACCATTTTTGAGTTCTTGCTTTCCTTTTCCTGCGCACGCGTGGGAGGCCCTTCTAGGTCAGATGGGTGGCAGGGCCGCTCACCTTCTCTGCGTGTCCCCTGGGGCTGGTGGGACAGCTGCCTGGCTTCTCGACTGCCCTGCTCCTCCCCCTGAGGGAATCCCTGGGGGGTTCATTGATCTTGGGGTCTTGCGGGAACTGGGTCTCTGCCCCTGCAGCAGAGAGGGAAGCCCGTGCTGCTCCCCGGGTGAGATGGTTGGCCAGGCCGAGTCCTGGGACGCCTCTCGCGGGCGCACTGGTGCCCGCCGACAGAGCTCTGGGCCAGAGTGCTCGGGCGAGGAAGCACCTCGCGGGCGAGAGCAAGCTGGCCTGCCGGTGCCCTCGTGACCCAGCGTGTGGCCATCTGCGCAGTTCCGGGGCGAGCAGGCGGGGGCACACTCAGCGCGGACATGTCCAGCCCGGCCTACTGAGAGGTGACCGTGGCCTTGTCTGGTATGGCCCAGGGACGTGGTGCTGTTGTGTGACATCGGGTGTGAGCTGGGGACGCACCGTCCAGCCAGGAGGAGAGGGAGGTGCCCGTCAGCCCGTCAGGTCCTGCTCCCCGTGGCAGGCTCTGCCCCGCCCGGCTCCGGCACCCCGGCCGCGCTCTCTGGCCTCCCTCCCAGCCTTGGCCTCCCGGCCCCCTGGCGTTGCACTTGCCTTGCTTGGGAACTGGGCCTGGCTGTCGTGCGCCTTCCTCTTTCTGCCTCGAGCATGCGTCTGTCCCCGTGATACTTGAGTGATCGTTTCTGAGGGCAGTGTGACCGGATTAAAGCAGCATGGAGAACTCAGCTGGCTGTGGTCGCAGCAGGAAGGCGCCAGGTGGACTCTCACTGGCTCTTAGACAGCAGGGACCCTGCGGTCAGCTGGGTGCCCCCGCCGGCCCTCCAGGCCACCCTGCCACAGCTTCTGGGTGCCATCCCGACGGGTGCCTGAATACTCCGCTTGCTGCTCTGTGATGAGGGACGAGGCCTTGCGTGTGGAAGTCGGAGGGGGTTTTCTTTCGCCTTCCTGGAATCAAGACAGATGCATGTCTTGAGCTTCACTAGTAGAGTCGCTCTTTGGCTCTGTCGGGGTCGAGTCTTGGTCGCTCAGTTTATGGGGGCACCGCAGACCCCCCCCCCGCATTGCTAAGAACTGCGGGGCCCAAACTCTCGTTGGTGGCACGAGCATCTCGGGGCATGCCTGGGGTGGGGGTGGGGGCGCCCCCAAGCGGAAGAGTCAGCTGTATCTCTCAGTATTCAGAATTATCAGTTTGAAATTTTTAGATTTGGGAATGAGTAGGTTGGGTCTGTCAGACATGACTAGTTATTTGGAAAAGAACTCTAAAGTGATGGCTGAGTTTGTTCTTTCCCGTGAAATGGACACATTCTTGAAAGGCAGGTTCTTGTTCCAATAACGCCTCCACTGCTCATGATAATTGACGGCGTCAGTGAAGATCGTCCGCGAGACGTGAAGGTGACGGTGCCCCAGTAAACTTGGGCCGTGGACGCACGCTCGGTGCGCGCTGCTCTGCTGGACGCTCAGGCCCTGGGCACGGGCACGGGCAGAGCTCAAGCCGGGGGCCCGGGAGGGGCGCCCGCCGCGAGCCAGCCACCGTGCATCTGCGTCCCCCTGCGACTCGGGGCGGCAAGGGTGACGGGGTTCTTTTCTGACTGCCCCTCAGGATGGCCCCCGAAGTCGCGGCCGTGGAGAGGAAGGGGGGGTACAACCAGCTCTGCGACCTCTGGGCGGTGGGCATCACCGCCATCGAGCTGGCCGAGCTGCAGCCGCCCATGTTCGACCTGCACCCGATGAGGTGAGCGCGCGGGCGCGAGGGTGCGCGGGCGGGGCCCAGCGGGCGGGGGTCCCCCTCACGATGCCGCCTGCCCCCTTGATTTTCAGAGCCTTGTTTCTGATGACCAAGAGCAACTTCCAGCCTCCCAAACTCAAAGACAAACTGAAGTGGTGAGTATCGCTTGTTCCTTTCGCAGACGCGAACATAAAGGAGTCAACGTTTTAAACGTCTGATTTTCTGCATTTCTCAGGTCGAACAATTTTCATCATTTTGTGAAAATGGCACTTACCAAAAATCCCAAAAAACGACCCAATGCTGAGAAGTTGCTCCAGGTATTTCTCTGTCCCCTGAAACCGTGTCTTGTTCCTTAAAGCGGGCCTCGTTCCATCGGGCGTCTGACTGAGCTCTGTCCCTCATTTCGTAGCACCCGTTCGTCACCCAGCACCTGACGCGGTCCCTGGCCATCGAACTGTTGGACAAAGCCAATAACCCGGATCATTCCACCTTCCACGACTTCGATGACGACGACCCTGAGGTACCTTCTGTTCTTACCAACTCGGTGCTAGCGCGGGGACCTCTGGGGATGCGTCCGCGCCCCTGGGTCCGTGTGAGGGGCACCCTGGGGGAACGGCCCCGGCTTCCCTCATGGCGAGGCGCGGCACTAGTTCCTGTTGGTGACAGGGCGGGGCTCATCGGGCAGTGCTCGGGGCCCGTGTGGTTCGTGCCCCAGGCCCAGGTTCTGTCAGAGGGGTCATCTTAGATGCAGTCACCGAACGGAGTGTCCACTAGACGCAGGAGGACGAGTGGGAAGACCAGCGTTAGGACGGGCTCAGAATTCCTATTCGGTGTTTCTCCAGAAGGGGCTGATCGTGTCCTTCATGAATTCAGGGGTTAAGTCGAAGCCGGGGTGCCAGCCCCGTAGTTCTTAGCTCAGCTGTACGTGCCCAGGCCTGGTGTCGCAGGGCCACCCCGGGGTCATTAGGGGACCAGGTGATGCCCTCCTCCACCCCCCCACCCCAAACACACACACAGGGCCTGCACCCTCCCCCGCTGTGAGCTGCCTTCCCAGTTCTGAGTGATGCTCTGGTGACCTAACCCTTAACCATCCGCTGTCTGGCTCCCAGTGACAGCGTGGTTCAGAGAGCAGAGTGACCCAGCGTGCTGATATGAATGGAGTTTCACTTCCTGGGCCTGTTGGCTGTTCCAGGCTTAGCCAGCGTTGGTGGCCCCGGAACCTGCCCAGGTCAGGTGACACGCAGAGGCCTGTCCTTGGGTCTGAAGCAGAGGTGGCTGTCCTTGGCCTCGGCCTTAGGAAAAGTACTCGAGTGTCGCTGGCACCGGATGAACTGGAAGGAACGCTAGCGCTGGCGGTCAGCAGGGAGACTCTTCCCCCCAGCTGCCGGGCCCCGCGCTGGGAGGAAGTAAGCTGCCCTCTCCGTAACGGTGTGGAACGGCACCAGCGCAGAGCACCGGGACGCGAATTGCACTGGGCTGTGCTGGAGTCAGTCTGAGGGCAGGATCCAGGCGGTCTGGCCTGCTCGGGAGTGTGAGGTCCTGGGAGGGATCATGAGCTGAAGTGACCTAAACCTGAACCATCCACGCGGCAGCAGGGCTCGTTGTAATCGCTCTGTGTCCTGGGGGTAAGTCTAAATATGCAAAACTCGGTCTCCGAGTTTCATGTGATCAGTATTAACTTACAAAGTCCTTTTTCAAAGTGTTCAGAGGGAAGAAAGAATAGGCCAGCTCCAGACGAGTCTTCCTTCCGCCGCGTTCCCACGCACGGAGGAAGGTCCCGCTCTGGTTGCCGGGATGCTGAGGTTGGGCTTACAGCTGGAGGCCGAGGCTGCTTTTCGCGCCGCCTTGAGAAGATGAGCAGGTTGTAAGATAGCACTTGGCTCACAGGAGCGTTTCTCGGACGCTCTGGCCATGATCCCGGGTGCCCTGCTGGCCCTGGAATGGGACGGCGGCCGCGGTTCAGGTTCAGCCTTGGCCGTGGCTCCTCCCTCGCGGGGTCCGAGAGGATCGGCCCTCTTCCTGCTCCTTCCGTGCTCTCATGCACTGCAGTAGGAAGCTTAGCAGTGTTGTTGCATTCCCGTATAATTCGTTTGGCCATCACGCCCGGTGATGCTCGGGGTGTCTGTTGGCTCTGCCCTCAGGGATCACTCCCTGCGGTGCTCGGGCGAGGTGAGGTGCCGGAGGTGGGACCCGGGTTGGCCACATGCACGGCCAGCAGCCCCCCCCCTCGGCCCCGTTTTTTCTGCTTAGAAGTACCACATAGTGGACTCGTGGTGGCAGATTTTTTCTTTCGTTCTTGCCTGCGAGAGTTTGGCTCGTGCTTTTCCATGCGCCCGTCCTTCGGCGGGTGTTTCTTGGGCGCTGCAGTGCCCAGCCTTTGTGCTGAAGCTGGAGCTCTCCTGGGAGCAACTTGTTCTTTCTAGGGGCAGAACCGTCTGACCGTATCGCGCCGTATGTTGTTACCGAATGGAGGAACAAAAGGCAGAAGGAATCACCAGGTCTTAGACCAACAGGGGCCCGTCTGCGATGGTCGCTGTCTCTGGGGGTCCTGAGGCCGCCGTCAGGCTCTGCGGGGGCTTGTGCTGGCTCACAGAGCCGGTGCTGTCTAGGCAGCTTCCCCGTCAGATTTGGCTGTGGAGTGGGAGGATCGCCAGGCCACGCAGATCGAGTCCACGGGCAGGAGACCCGAAAGGCCTCGGGGGCTTGGCTTCTGCACGGCTGGGCCTCTGGCAGGACGGGGAGGCTGCCCACCCCCATCCCGAAGGCCCCGGGCCCCTCAGCCTGGGGAGATCGGCAGCCTCGTGTTCTCGGGAGACGTGAGGCACGCTGTTTCTCTGCTGGCGAGGGATGGTTTTTCCTTGGTGTGATTTTCTTTTCCTGACCGTTAACCTGTTTGCTGGGCCAGACCTAGCACTTTCCGAGTGGGACTGTCGAACCCAGGAAGTGCATCTGTTCTCGTGGGCCAGCTGCCCTGCCTCCAGAGCTCGGACGGGACGAGCTGAGCACCTGGCACTCGGTGAAGAGTGAGGCGGTCTCCCACGTCCAAGGACAAAATGAGCCAATACACAGAGACCGCTGTGCGCGCGCGGACGCCTGCCTCTTGCGAAACTTCCCTTTGGTGCTGTTTCAGTACTTGGACTGTCCAGAACTCCGCAAGTCATCTGTCGTGGCGTCCTGAGATGGGCCTGCAGGGAGGCGCATTGGCGTGGGCCCACTCCCCGCTTGCGCGTGTCCTGGTGCGTGGACGTGCAGCTCTCCCAGGGATCTGGACCCCGGGGGCCGGGCACAGCCGCAGAGGAGCCTCACCCCACCCCCAGAATCCTCCCAGGGCAGCACCCCGAGAAAGGAGAAGGAAGGGGGTCACGCCCGACACCCCGGTGGGGACTGGGCCTGGGCGTGAGCCACGGTGCCCTGCCCGTTGCTTGTTTCACTCATCTCGCTCTTCGATGTAAGAAGGCCAGGCGGGGCCTTTATTTCTTTATGGATTTCTCTGTGACAGGGAAGCCGAGCTGCGGCTTTTGGACAGCATTGGAGATGTTGAATATCCCATTTTGAGTTTACGCTCCCTGGGAACTTAAAATCCGCCCCTAGCCTGGAGCCGTTCCTGGAGAGCAGAGGAGAGATGGGAGGAAAGATGGGAAGGAACAGCCCGTTCTTGCCTGGAGCCGGCGCTTGCTGGCAAGGGTTTGCCAAAGCAGAGAAACGAAAACAGTGATCGGAACATCCGGGACTTCATTTTTTTTATTTTTTAAATTTTTTTTTTTGCTTTTTTTGCCGGGGCGGGGGGGTCACACCTGGCGATGCTCAGGGGTCCCCCCTGGCTCTGCACTCAGGAATCACCCCTGGCGGTGCTCAGGGGACCCTATGGGATGCTGGGAATCGAACCCGGGTCGGCCGCGTGCAAGGCAAACGCCCTCCCCGCTGTGCTGTTGCTCCAGCCCACGTCCGGGACTTTAAACTCGAGTCACAGCAGCCTCCATCCCTCGATGTCTGGATTCAGCGTCTTTGATATTCCGGCGAGCGTGCGAGCCTCGGGCACAGCACCGAGACCAGCCCAAGGCTCTCGGCGCCTCAGCTCGCCTTCCACGCGCCGTGCTGCCCCCTTCGCCCTTCAGGAGGCGAGCGATGGCTTCTTGTCACATACTTAACAGCTCGCACAGATGATGCTTATGCTGTTAAAAAAAAATCAATGTATTGCAATTTCTAAACGAGGTCTTCTAGGTAGATTTTACTTGGGCTTTAATTCTCTCTACTAGTCCCCTTACATTTTTTTTAAATTAATGAAGACAATATCAGTAAAGATTTGGTTTCGCGTATTTCCCCAGATTCCTTGCCATTTTCGGGGGGCGTCTGAGACAGCTCGGGTGCTGGGCGCGGCCCCCCAGCCAGAGCTCCCGGGCACAGAGCCCAGAATGATGCCGAGACTCGGGAAGGAAGATGCCGTAGGAGACAGGGCTCCTTCAGTGGCCGGGTCTCCTGCGGTGCTTTGCACCCAAGGGAGCCGAGACAGAGACCCCCGCAGGGATGCTGCAGACACTGTCTTAGACGGGCCCTCGGGTGCCGGGCCAGCCCTGCCCAGGAACATCGGGTGGTGACCAGTCGCACTTGGTCTGGCCTCTGCCTGGGGAGCCGTGAGCTGGGGAGAGAGGAGGACGCAGTTCCCTGAGCACGCAGCGTCCTTGGGCCCGTGCTCGCTGTCCCCAGGGTCCCCCCGCGCTCGCCTTGCTGACCTCAGGCCCTTGTGTGTCGGCCGTGAGGCCCATCCCGGGTCTCCGCCAGAGGCTGCCGGGGGCATCTTCCGCTCGCGCCCACTGTGGCCACCAACACGACCGGGGGCTGGCGTCCCCCTTGGCACAGCTGGCACACGGGGGTCCGGTAGGCTGCATTTTCCTTTCAGGCCCCCTGAGCCCGACTGCAAGGGGCCTCTTACTTTCCTGTGGAGGACGGTTGAACACAGCGTTGACCTGGGGTTTGTGCGTGAGGTTATTTTGAGTTATAATAGTAGAAATAAACATGAAAAGGCCATAAAGATAGAATTTTTTTTTTTTTTTTTTGCTTTTTGGGTCTCACCCAGCGATGCTCAGGGGTTACTCCTGGCTCGTGCACTCAGGAATTGCTCCTGGCGGTGCTCAGGGGACCACATGGGGTGCTGGGAATCGAACCTGTGTCGGCCATGTTGGCTGCGTGCAAGGCAAACGCCCTACCGCTGTGCTATCGCTCCAGCCCCAACATAGAAATTTTTGTCAGAAGGAGGCGATTGGATTTATTTCCGTCGTGAGGTGTGTAAGGCAACACGGAAGACTGTTTGGGGAGCTGCGCCGTCGTGAGTCTCTGATCCCCGTAGAATGGGCATTGACCACCCCTCTGCTCGGGGACTGTCTGGGCAGCCCGGGGACTGGGCCGCACCAGGGGAGGACGGAGCCCCGGGCTGCACCCTGTGTGTGAAGGGGGACGGCGCCCGGCTCAGGAGTGAGGCCCGGGCTGCGCCCTCGCTCGGGCCAGGAGCCGGAGCCCCTGTGCAGCCTCAGCTGTGACCCCCTTGGCCTTGCAACTGAGCTGCCCTCGTAGTGGTCTCACTGCTGCCGAGGCCCGGGCCTGGGAGGGTTTCCCGCCCTCTGGACTCCGGGCGGGTCGCGCTGGATGGCGGGGTGGTGTCCCTTGTTCTCCTGGCACCGGTGACAGACCCGACGCCTCTCTCAGACTGAGCTGGGGCCCCTCTCCCTGAGCCGTGCCTCGACGGGCCCTGCTGGCAGCGCCCCCTGCTTTCTCGCTCAGTCAGCGCCTGCCTTTGCGGGGACCCTCCGAGGGGCCTCTCCAGCCCTCCAGGCCCAGGGCCCTCTCCCAAGCTGGCCTGCCTGTGTCTGGGGGCGGGAGAGGCCACTCCGGCCTGCTTGCTCGCGCGCCCTGAGCCCCTAGCCGCGCTCTGCTCGCGTGTTCCGCCCCCAGAGTCTTGCCTCCCTCGGCCGGGGCCACCTTCCTGGCCGTCCCCAGAACCGCTGCATTCGCCAGCTCCTGCGAGGAGACGTTGGCTTTGCTCGTCTTCAGGCTGCGGGTCTCATCTCCCGGGCCCATCTCTGAGTCTTGCTCGCTGAAGCCCCTACTTCCGGGCTCGGAGTTTTCCGGTATTCCTTTGAGGTGCTGTTACTTAGTTTGGTTTCATAACCAGAATCCTGAGACGCGACTCTTGCTCGCAAATGAAAGAACTTGAGAGAACCTGTTGTTTCTGCTCCTGGGAAGGTATCGTGGGGCACCGTTATGTGGAGAGAATGAAAACGCTTTTAGTAAGAATAATAATTACAATTGAAATTGTCGCAGGTGTAACCACTGTCACCTATTGAACTGTGTCTGTGTGTGTATGAGTGTGGGGGGAGGTGAGGATGTGTGTGGTGTATGTGTGTATGTGTGTGTGAGAGAGACAAACAGAGAGGGAGGGAGAGACAAAGACAGAGCAAGAGAGTTACTCCCTCGAGATGCATGCCACCTGCATCAGAGGCCGATGGGGCCGGGCCCATCTGAGCTGGCCAGTGTGTGTGTGTGTGTGTGTGTGTGTGTGTGTGTGTGTGAGACCCCACAGGCGTGGGCAGCGTCATAGGTGGCTTCTCAGCGCTCCGGGTGCCCTTCCCTGGTGCTTGCTGGTCGGAGAAGGGCTGCCCGCGCCCCAACGGGGCCGGACACAGTGCTCAACAAGGACGATCAGGGCAGAGCACTTGTCCTGTGTGCGTGAGTCCTGGGTTTGGCTCCTGGCCCTGCGTGTTGCCCTGAGCGCAGCGCTGGCATGGCCCAGACCTCCCGCACCCCCCAGGAAGATAGATTTGCCGTCGTGGTTTGTGCTGCCGTTGTGTGCGATGCACGCGTGCAAATACACGTGCCAGTTTCTGTCTTTCGTTCCCGTTTGTGCAACAGGAAGTGTTTTCTTCCACATCAGTAATTTCCTGCCTGATTATCAAAAGCCACATCATTGATGTGTTTCTTTGCAGCCTCTTGTTGCTGTCCCGCATAGAATCCATTCGACGAGTAGGAACGTGAGAGAGGAAAAGACACGCTCGGAAATAAACTGTAAGTGCAGAAGGAGGTGCGCTCCTCCCTCCCAGGGACGGGCAGGCTCGGGGCCGCGCTCCAGGAACTGTCCTGCTTGGTTTTCATCCAAGTGATCTTTCTTACCCTCTTCAGAGGTGGTTGGAGACAGGAAGAATTGCTCTTTCGTTTTGCTTTTGGGCCAGTCCTGGTGGTGCCCAGGCTGACTCCTTGCTCTGTGCTCAGAGGTCACTCCTGGCGGGCTGTGGAGGCCGTCTGGGTTCCGGGAATGGAGCCCACGTCAACCTTGTGACGGGCAGATGCCCTCCCCACTGCACTGTCTCTGGCCCCAAGAATCTCACTTTTCAAAAGAATTTTATTTTTGGTTGGGAGAGGGAGGTATGTTTGTACTATTATTATTTGGGAAGAGTTGGGATTTTTTTTAGACCGTCAGGAAAGAAAATCAAGGCAGTGCTGCTCAGATGTAGAAGAGTCTCATTGCCAGGAGGGCTGGTTTTCCCGTCCGCAGCCCTGGGCCGGGGGACGCGGCCAGAGCACTTGGCGGGGGGTGGGGGGGTTGGCTGGGTTCCAGCCGCAGCACCACGGGCCCCCAGCTTCTGCCAGGACTGACCCTGGCAGTGGCCCCTCAACAGAAAAATAAAGAATCGCCTCTATTTTATTGTTCTGGGTCACAATAAGTAACGAGTTAAAACCGTTCTAGCTGGGATAATACTAATAATTCTGATGCTGGTTTTTTCCCCCCCTTTTATTAGCCTGTGATTAAACTTAAACTTGGGTGCTTTCGCTTTATTTCCAGCAAACATTCTTTACTTAAATCTTTGACTTGGGCTCAGTATTTATGGTAGTGGCAAAAGTGTGTTTTGCCATGGAGTGATTGTTGAGAGTTTTACATCAGGAAGAACATAAAGGTCAGGTTCCATTTTCCTTTTTCAGTCGGCCAAGTAAAATTTGATCCACCCTTAAGGAAGGAGACAGAACCACATCACGAACTTGTAAGTACTGTTTCTTAAAATGAGAGCACCAAAACAAAATATTCCGCCTGGTCTCTGATATTTTGGTGCTGATTGAGAAAGTAGCTTATTAAAATTTTCAGAAACATTGGGGAAATGAGGAGGTAAGTAATTGCAAAATTAGAATAAATAAATCTGTGTTGCTGAAATTGAGCGTTTTCAAAAAAAAATTTAGGGGAGACTAGTTTTGCCATTCTTCGACTAAATGTTTTTAATGGTATCAAATTATTTTTTTTTCACTTTTTGAGACTTTTTATGTCTATTAGCATAAGTGTCAAGATTTAAACTAGAAGGGCAAAAAGTCTGTGTTCTGACCTTGTGAGCTTTAGAGCGTATTCTGCCTCAGAAGTCAGACTCCCGGCTCAGAAGCTGAAGCTGGGCGAGTGGGTTCCGGGTACCAGGTGGGTCCCTGCGGGTCAGTCGGCTCGGAACCTTCCCAGTGTTTCCTGAGCGCCCTGTGGAGGAGAGAGAATAACAGGAAGCCTTAGAAGCAAATGCTTTGCAATTATTGAAGAGCTTAATCTATGAAAGCGTAAAAATGAGATTTAAATCCTGATGAAATGACTTTGTCGGGGCACTGGATCAGGTTTTTCCCCCGTTTCTATTTAAGAGTGAGAAGAAAGTAGTTGTTCATGAATACGAATTGAAATGGGAGCTTTCTCCGATCCACTTGACTAAGGCCCACAAAGGGAGCCTTTAGGCTCTAACTCAGGAGTTGATTTAAGTCAGCGTGGAGGAAGGTTGTTTAAAACCCTTCCAATGATGATGCTGTTTCAGCCTGGGGTTAGGTGGAGAACAGGCTCGGCTGACGCAGCAGGTCAGAGGTCAGAGGTCGACAGAGGCTGTTTGCACCTTGTTAAGGCAGCTGGGGTTTATTCTCGTCTGTAAGTTGCCCTTGCATGTATGTTAGTTCTGTACTAATGTAGTAACTGCCTTACAGATCAAAGTTGTTGCAGTGTTGCTTTTTCAGAAGCTCCTTAATAAGGTTTGACTGTCTTTGCCTTAATAGAATCCTGTTAGCAGGACATAGACTTCCCCTGTGAGAGTTCCGTGGGACCCTGGCTTCTGGTCTAAGTGTCAATAACGTGGTTTCTTGGTCTCACTGAACAGCCCGGCAGTGATGCTTTTCTGGACAGTTCAGAAGAAATATACTACACTGCAAGATCTAATCTGGTATTTCTCCACTTCTCATTTTCTTTATCGGCATTGTTTAAGTCTTAATTATTTGAGTTTTTTTTAATGAAACATTTTGTCCAGTTTTTACATTGATTTGTAAGGTTCTGCCTTTAAGCACGCTTCCTGCCACCGAGTTGCAGAAGTTTTTTATAGAACAAATATATCTGCTCAAATGCATTGTTATAAGAAAAGTTTCTCCTTCTTATGGAAAGCGTTGAGTTTCACACTCATAGGGGAAGTTAGTAAACGGCCTTTCCCTGGAAGATGTCCGATTTTAACCGCGCGTCTTGCTTTCATGCTAACTACGAACCGTGTAAGTGCGTAATCACTCATGCAGGAAGGTGAACCTGCTCCGTGTATTGCTTATAACTAGGAAATAGTTTGTCCCTGATTAAGAGCGAATTCTGTCTCGGATAAAATGTTAACCTGGTGTCTTGTCGGTTTCCTTGAGCCCAAATGTTCGTGAAAAGCCTCACTGACGTTTAAGCAGAGAGACTGTCTCCCCTGGCCGGCCGCCCCCGCGGGCCTCGCTGCTCCGTGCTCGCTCACTCGCTCCCTCGTCTGCCCGTCCCAGGGGATTTTTCTTTTTCTTGCTTCTGCTCTGTCTCAATAACATTTACTTCAGTTCCGGTTGCTTTAACTAAACTCTTAGGTCTGGACCTTGTGACATCTGGAGCACCTCAAAGATTTTAGACTTTGTTTGATAATGGGAAGTTTTGCACATCTGAACTCTGAGCCATGCAACCAAATCTGTCGTGGCGGGGTTCCCGCAATTCTGCCCTGTGTGCCTGCTGATGGGGAGAAGCTGGCCCCTCAGAACGGAGCAGCCCTGGGGCTCGTTTGTGTGGCTTCTTGGGTCCTGGGCAGGCTCCCTGTGCCCTGTGGAGGAGCGGAGATGAGGAAGAGGATCCCGCTTCCAGGACGGGGGGGTGGGACTCACCAGAGGAAGCCGGAAGGCATCCAGGAGGCAGGAGATGGAGCTGTGAGGTGCGTGGGTCGCCTCCCGTGGCTGAGGAGAGCGTGCAGGACCAGGCTCTGGGGAGGCTTTGCTGGGGGAGAAGCAGCGAGAAGCCAGCGGCAAGAGGGCCGCGCCCTCGGCCCAGAGGAGGGAGTGGGCAGGGGCCTCCCAGCACAGGTCCCTCAGCGCCAGACATGTGTGGAGATTCCAGGGGGGCTGGAAGACGCCATCAGAAGCCCCGGAGAGCTTCGGGGGTCACGGCGCTTTTGCCATACAGGAGGTGACACCTGCCTGGAAACTTGGAATAGTCACCTTGGCTTTGTCCCCGGAACTACCCCCACAGTCAGGGCGCCAGGAGAGAGGACAGTGGGCAGACCTCGACTGGCATGCAGCTGACCCGGGTGCGACTCGTGGCATCTCGTGCAGTTCCCTGAGCCCTGCCAGGAACATCCCTCAACGTGGACCAGTGTGGGACAAGAACAAACCAACCGTGTTGTCAGGGGACAGGGAGAGGACAGGGTCCCCCTTGGATTGGGAGGGGCACAGGGACCCTCCTCGAGACCTGGGAGACAGGATTCCCTGTGTCCAGTGTTGTGCCGCCATTTCCCTCGTCCATCTCTAGAACCTTCCGTCCTGCGGGTGGCGCTTGCTCCCCGTGAAATAGGCCTTCTTGTGGCTCTGCCCCACCCTGGCGCTGCCGTCCCTTCTCCCCAAGCCTTCTCTCCTCGTGGTGCGCCCTCCGGATGCCGCCTGCCCGCCCTTCTGTCTCCGCGTGGATCAGTCTTCAGCGTTCGCGGTCGTGCTCCAGGGTCCCTCCTGGTGGGCTCGGGGACCCTGTGCCGTGCGGGGCTGCGCGTGTTGGCCCCGTGTCCCTGGGGCTGCCTCTCCGCCCCTGCTCGGTGCCGCTGGTGGGGCGCGTGCTGGTGCCCGTCGCGTGTGTGCAGGGGCTGTTGGCTTCCGCAGGAATGTCAGATTTCCACAGCAGGCTTCAGGCCTCTCCATGTCCTCAACACTTACTCTTTGTGTGCATTTTGAAAATGAGTTTGAGGTTCGGAGAAGTAGTCCAGGGTAAGGCATGTTCCTTGCGTGTGGCCAAGCCCAGCTGACCTCTGAGCACTGCTTGTGTGGCCCAAAGCATAATTTGAAAGTCAGTCGGTCAATCGAGCATGTAAATGCGCTTCACTGAGGCACCGTTGTGACACGGAAGTTTCGGGTGCAGCGTCACCGTCCCACGCGGGGCTCCTCCGGCCTGGCCTCTGTCCCCACTGGCCAGCCAAGCCCTGCTCGGCCCTCCCCTCTGGGGGTTCTGGGCCTCCGTTTGCTGCTGCTGCTGCTGTCCGGTGCCACATGGAAAAGCAGTTTTGGGCCGCGCGTGTGAGGCGAGCGCTTGTCAACTGAAGCGCGGCCAACCCGTTCACTCGTGACTTCCTTTCTTTGCTGTCCGTGTATAAGTGAAACCTGATGAGGCCTGTTTCCGCACTTGTGTCAGTTAGCACGACTCAAGCTGTCCCACCTTGTTACTCAAACGAAAAAGTTTCCTCTTGTTTCCGGCGTCTGTGTGGTATCCCCTGTGAACACACACTGCTTCTCTCTCCATTTATCCACGCACAGACTCTGACTTGTTTGCACTTCTTGGGGATTGTGCGTGACTCCGCAGATGAGCGTGGGGGTTTCTTTAAGGCTGTGCTGTACGAGATACACAACTTGCAGATAAGCAACTCAGAAACTTCATACACGCAAAACCATCACTACAAGATAGACTACTTTGAGACAAATCCAGCAAATGTGCCAAACTTCTGCATCAAGATGGCACAGAACTCCACGACAGCTGCCTCTCGATGCTGATGAACTGAATGCTCCAGTGAAGAGACACAAAGTGGCAAGGATGGTTCAGTATAAGGAATTCACTTGATCACTTGACTTCCCGTTAGTCATCGATTTGCTTGAGCGGGCGCCAGTAACGTCTCCATTTGTCCCTGTCGCGTGCTAGTGTGGCCCAATGGCATCTGTTCGCTCCGGGAACATGAAGGGCCTCAAACCGATCGTTCATGATCTTCACGAAGAAGTCTGACCATCTGGTAGGTGGGCGGCCACGCGGTCTTTTGACATCCCGTGGAATCCAGTCGGTAACAGCTCTAGTCCAGCGGTCATCTTTAAATCTCATTACGTGACCAGCCCATCTGATTTTCGACACCTCGGCAAATGAGACAGCGTCCCTGATTCTTGATCATCGACGGATGTCAGAACTCCGGATTCTTTCTCTCATTTGAGTGAAACGTGATACTCCAAGCATAGCTCTTTCTATTCTTCTTTGGGAGACCTGAATGGCGTTCTCATCTTGTTTGCGTAGGGCCCAGGTCTCAGAGGCGTATGTTAATGCAGGAAGAACAGTGGAATCAAAGAGATGTGCCCGGAGCCAGAGGTTCTTCGTCCTCTTAGCTATTTCTTCGATGTTCTTAAAGGCCTTGAAGGCGTTCCAAGCCGCTCTCTTCCTCCTGCGCAGCTCGGGTGCCAGGTCATTTGTCATGTTGACCTCTCGACCTAGGTACACATAGCTGTTGCATTCGGAGATGGTCGTTCCATTGAGAGCGAATGGGGCGTCAGGAACGAGGCTATTTCTCATAAACATTGTCTTCGTGAGATTCAGCTGTAGTCCTACCTTTCCACACTCACGGTCAAAGTCGACCAGCATTAAGGAATTCAGCTAACATAATACACCTGTCGAAAAAAGAAAAATCCTAGGATCGTCTCAATGGAGGTAGGGAAAGCACCTGACAAGATCCAGCACTCGTGCATGATAAAAACTTGCAACAAAAAGGGAATTGAAGGAACTTTCCTCAGCATAGGCAAAGCCATTTATCATAAGCCCACAGCAAACATTGTGCTCAGTGGGGAAAGTCTAAAAACCTTCCCTCTAAGATCAGGCACAAGATAAGTTTGCCCACGTTTGCTTCTACTGTTCAGTTCTGTACTATTCTATTCTATACTGGGAATACTTGCCATGACAAAATTAGGCAAGAAGAAAATATCAACATCATCCAGATAGGAAAAGAAGAAGACAGGCTTTCATTATTTGCAGATGATGTGATACTTCATCTAGAAAATCCTAAAGACTGCCCCCAAAAGACCTAGAAACAATAGGTTTATGCAGTAAAGTAGCAGGCAGCAAGATTAATATGCTCAAGTCCATAGCTTTCCTATATGCAGATAATGAAAGAGAAGAGAGAGAGAGTGAACAGTCCCATTCACAGTTGTGCCTCAGAAAGTCAAATACCTCAGAATTAACTTAAGGGATGAAAGCCCCGTATGAAGAGAACTACAGAATGCCACTTCAAGAATTAAATGAGGGACAAGGAAATGGAAGGAGACACCTCCCCTGCTTGTGGATTGGGAGGATTAATACAAAACGGCAATACGCCCCAAAGCATTGTACAGACTCAGAGCAGTCCGCATGGGGTTTCCCAGAACATTTCTCGAAGAATAGATCAAACCCAAATGATCACACACATTTACATGGAACAAGAACCCCCCTGAATAGCTCAAACGATCCCTGGGGAAAAAGAAGATGGAAGCCAGAAAGCTGAGCTACAGAGTGTTCGCAGTTGAAACAGCGTGGGATTGGAGTACAGACAGACCCGCAGAGCCGTGGGGTAGAGTTGGATATCCTGAGTTAGGCCTCAGGCACACGGTCAGTTAATCTTTGATAAGGGGGGGTGGGGAACGGAGCAAGGAGAGCCTCCTCAGCAAGGGGTGTTGGGAAAACTGGTCAGCTGCCAGCTAGGAGACACAGACCTCCTCCTGAAGCTGTGCACAACAGTCAAATCAAAACGGATTAAAGGCCTTGAGAGCAGACCTGAATCTAGAAGGTACGCAGGGGAAAACGGAGGCAGCCCCTCCACGACGTGGGAGCGACAGCGTCTTCAAGGATGAAGCGCCCCCGACCCGGCACGCGGGAGCAAGGATAGACAAATGGACTCACGAAACTCAGCAGCCCTGCGCCTCGAGGAAACGGGGACCAGGGTCCAGAGACGGCCCGCGC